ACCCTCTGGCCACAATAATTCACATACCTCCCACATGCAAAATAGACTCACCCCCTCCCAAGAACCCCAAAGTCATCCAATCATGGCATCAGGCTTGACATCCATTTTCTCATGAGTCATGTCCATAAGCAAAAGAGACTCCTTGGGTGTAGCTCCCCAGGTGCTCTTGATCCAAACATCTGGGAACTAAAAAGACAAGTTATCTGCCCCCAACACCCCCAACATTTAATGATGAGATGTGGAGAAGATAACTGTAAAAGATATTCCAGTTCAAAGAAGAGAAGATGGGAGGCACAGAGCAGTCACTGGTCCACAACAATTCTAAAATCCAGATGGGCAGATGTTGTCAGGTTCCCTTACTCCAGGGGCATTAAATTTTTTCATTGGTTATTTTGTTTTTTCCAGTGTCTTGTTCTGCTCCCTGAGAGTGGTCTCCTAATCCATGGCTCCCTTCTGCACTGAGCTCTGCCCTCTGGGCTCCTGGCTCCACACTTTGAAAAATCTCTCTTATTATTAAAAATGACTAATGTTTACAGCTGAATAACTTTCCCAGTCTGCTTCCTATTCATAGAAAATTGAGGGCCCAGAAGCCTCTTTGAAGTTTGAACCGTCTCTGTCCCTTTTAGGCCCCTTGGTGCATTTATCAATACAAGTCTCTTGAAAACTTTGTGGGTTTTCTACGAATCATATTGGAAATTCACTGCTTGCCCCCAAAACATATCCATAACTTTTCTGCACAGACCTCACTAAACTTTGGGCATGGCAGGCTGCTGTGAGACAACACCCTTCAAATTCTTAGAAGCCCTTATATTCTAGGTGAAAGAGTAATCTACCAGGTAATGTCTTAAATATTTCTGAGGTTTTAAAGGATTTTCCAGGCATTCTTGATTTGCCCTTTATTCTGAAGTCATTTTTCACTTTGAAACTCTTTCGTCAGCTGGAGAGACTGAGAATGAGAAACAGTTCTATTTTCAAATCATTTTGAAACACCTCCTTTAGTTCATCTCTTTTCCTTGGCAAAAGCAAGCAAAAGCATTCAATAGACACTTTAAACATTTTATCTAAACAGATCTCCTTAACTAGATCTACAAGTTCATTAAGCACAGTCTCTACTTTATAAGTTACCTCCAGTAATTGTTCCATCATCACAGAACATGGGTTACCCTTTTTCCAGACTCTGTGATTTCCTCACTGCCCTTCCAGTCTCCACTAAATGGCTGTTCACCATTCCTCCAACCTTCACTAACAATCTCTTTGCCATTTTTCTAGCTGCCACCTATGAGCCAGTCTCAAAGCCAATGTAACATATTTTACTCTTTTTTTTTGTTAGAGAAGTCAGTATCACACCTTTAGGTGTCAATTTCTGTGTCAGTTATGCATTTATGCCTAACAAAACAAAAATGTAGTGACTTAGGACACAGACCATTTTATTTTATTTGCTCACTGCAATCTGAGCTGGGCTCAGCTGGGCAGTTCATTTGTTAATCCTGGCTGGGAGCCACTTGTGCAGTTAATCATCTGGCAACTTGACTGGGGTTGGATGGTCTAATACAGCCTCACTCTCTTGTCTCAAAGGCGGTGCGGGCTGTCAGATCTAGGAAGCCTCAACTGGGACAATTCATTTCTGCTTTATGTGGCCTCCCTTTTTCCAGAAGGCTATACTGGGCTCTTCACAAGGCAATTCTGAGGCTCATTCCAAGAGGGCAAGGGCAGAAACTACAAGACAATTTGCAGCGTTGGCTTCAAAACTTGTACACCATTTCTGCCACATTATACTGGCCAACACAAGTCACATGGCCAAGCAAAATTCAAAGGGAGGGAAAAAAGACTCTATCTCTTAATGAGAGGAAGGAAAATCATACAAAAGTGGTGTGTATAGGGATGGGAAGAGTTATCATGGTCATCTTTGCAAATAATCTCTGACATGCTCTTTTCTATATTTTTCATCCTATTTGTCTCTTCATGCTCCAGTCTGAACTCTCTTCTGATCTATCTTCCAGTCACTAATTCTCTCTTCATTTTCATCTAATGTGCTATTAACTCCTCTATTGACTTAACTTTAGTTATTGCATTTTCAGTTCAAGACTCTTCATTTCTTTCTTCTTTATAGTTTGCAGTTTTCTACCTAAATTCTCCATCTTGTCTTTAACTTTCGTGAATACATTTAAAATCCTTGTCTAATAGATCCATATCTAAACACTCTGTGGGTCTGTTTCTATTGACTTTTATTTTTGTTGATTTTCAACCATATAATCTGATATGCCTGCTTATTTTTAATTGACTGCTTGATACCGTATTTGAAAAATTAATAGAAATAAGTTGAGGTTCCGGATGTTAACCGTTCTCTGGAGAGAATTTATATTTTCTTCTTGCTGGTGGCCAGGGAAACTAGCAACTCTACAATACCTTGTTTGAATCAAGGGTCGAGCATTTTGAAGCTGGGATTGAGTCCTTTTGAGAGCTGTTCTATTTCCAGTTCATTCTTACTCCTTCAAGATCCCAATCTAGAATGTGGGAGGTTTCCCAGGGCATCTCCTTAGCAAACTCTAAAGTCTAAGTTTTGTCTTTTTAGTCTTATAAGGCTGTTGAAAAATCTAATCAACTTTTCAACTGCTTCTTCTCAAACTAAAGGATATCTCTAGGAAAAAAATGGCCTCAAACACTGGGCTCACTTCTCTGGATTTCATTCTTCTTCTATACCTTAGCCCTAAAATTCTTCACTGCCTTGAAAGATCTCTAATGCCTTAAAACAGATAAAAAAAAAAAATTTGGTCCACCTTTTCTAGTTTGTTCTCAGTGGGAGGACTCATTTGCGTTATTTAGTTAATCATTATTGGAACTTAAGGACTTCTACATAAAAACTTCCCAATCTTAGTGTTTAGATTCTTCAACTACTTGATTCCATAGTAATAAGTAGTTTTGAAATATCTAAAGGAGTTAAAATTTTAAAAATTAACATGCTTCTTCTGCTTCTAAGAGCAAAAGGCCTTTTCTTTAGACCACACGAGGCACTGATCCACTTATGAAATTAGAATTATTACAGAAGGAATGTAAAGAAAATGACAGATAATATTCAAATGCTGACACTCAAAACAGGATAATGCAGCAAAACAATATCTTTATCACTTTCTTTGTCTAGTATATTAAATCATGGAAGACTTCAGCTCATACAGTTTTTCTCTTTAGCCCATGACAATGAAGCAAGAAGTTTCATGCTGAATGACTTTTTAAAAAGAGAGGGCAAATAAAAGATGGCTAAGGTAAAAGATGATACAAAGTAAAAGATGCTCAGAAAAATAAGAAAAAGTGGGAAGCTAGAAAAGTGAAAAGGCCAGAAAGTGTCTGAATTTTCCTTTTTCTGACTCTTCTTTTTCTGGGTATTGTTAGGAGAAAAAGAGGTGAGTCAAATATGTGAGGGTAACTCTGAGGGCGGGAAAAACAGACTCTTGTCTCTCGATTCTTTCAGTAAGATCCTGAAAAGAAATAATTTCTTGAACCTCCATAACCAACTTGTAGTATGGCCACATCAACTTGGCTACAAATCAGAGGGTCAGGCAGAGAGGGACCCTAGGTTTAGCTTTCCTGAGCCACCCTCAGTTCTCCTAGAACCTGGGCTTGCCACAGGATCCCTGTGACAGGGTATGGTGGCCATGCAGCGCAGGCTACAGTATGGACTGCTGGGCCAGCAGGGGAGATGGGACAGGACATACGACAGAAACTCAGGAGCCTGCAGCCAAGTTGAATTGAAGTGAGGCAGCGTCGGTTATCAGGGAGCCTGAGCAAGGCAGGAGCATCCAGATCAGGAATCAGCCACACCACATACTTAATATACAATGCCAGCAGGACTGGGGTGCAGAAATGTAGAAAGGTATTGACTCTTCCTTGGCACTACGAGGTCCTATGAGCCACACACACCATATTGGGAAGAGCTATCTGAGAAACTGCGCAATTTTATATAGGAGAGAATCAATCTACTGCTTGAATTACCTAAATGAATAAAATCTTAAACTGGACATTTCATTAATACTTCTTTCCCTGCTAATAAGCAGGTATAGGCTAAAGAGAAAGACTAGATTATACACAAAAAATTAAATATTTTCTGGACATTCAAATTGCAGTGTGAGTTAAATCCACATATCTCTGATATACACGTTAGTTCAAATAAGTAATGACAACTTTTACTCCACCTGTCTGAAGAGGTTAGGGAAGTCATCGGCGTTGTTGACTTTTCTGATTCCCTTCCCTCCTCCTCCTTCTGAGGCCTTGATCATTACTGGATACCCAACTTCCTCTGCTGCCTTTAAGAAGAAAGAGAAAAAAGGAAAAATGGAAGTAAGAATGGTATTAGTAGGGAAGGAGAAAACTGGCATTTTGTCCCCTTAAAAACACTGTCATTTGTGGGGTCTATATGTAGTAAAGTAGATCTTAAAGATATACTATTAGGTGAAAAAAAAGTAACAAAATAACATTTGTAGTATCAGGTTGAACCAAAGGAAACTGCATTTTTTTGTAGGTAAATAATGGTTACATATTGGCAATTTTGTATGATTCAATCTAAAATAATCTCATATAGGTCAAAATCAAAATGAAACTATGTGTTTATGTATAGTTATATATGCATTCATATACCCACATATGTAAGTACAAAAAAGAAGTCCAGAATATCCACCAGTGGTGATTTATAAAAGGAAGATGAGTGGATATAAACTTTTACTTTTTACTGTACATATTTCTGTATTATTAGAATTTCTCATAATGTGCAGATGTTCACATATTACCCATAATTTTCATTAAAGAAGACCAAAAAAAATAGTTCACTTAATGTAAACTGCTGGTCTCAGTATAGCTTCTGACAACATACAAAGCTGAATGAATCAGGATTCTCCCACATCCAGAAATTTTTTCTCACTTGACTTTTTGTAAAGATAAAAATAGTAAGATATCAAAATATTAATAAAAGTAGTCAGAAAACTAATTTTCAACACATGCTCTCAATATGCTTTTCACATTTACAGTATTTTATAATGATCAGGTGATGATCCCAAAACATTTTGAATAATTAATTATATATCTGCGAAGTAAGGAGCTAGTTGAATCAAGGTATAACTATTTACTAGAATACTATGCAATTACTAAAAGCAATGATGTAGCCTTTACATGTAATGATATGGAAGATGTTCATACTGTAGTTAATGCAAAAAGTAAATCAGGGAAAAGTTTAAAATACCTGAGTTATTCTTTTGTCAAAACGTTCTAGTCTTTTGTGGTTTACATTATAACAATATCCAAAACTTTGTCACCAGAAAAAGACCATTTCAAACTTTAATTTTTGTCGGTAGACTAGGCAAGAAAATCTTTCACTCACAGTTCCATCCCTCCTAAAATCCTCTCAACTACTCACTTCTATGCTTATAAACAGAATTAGCATGATGAATTCAGTCACTGGGTGGTAAATGACTGAAGAAATAGCTGCAAACGTGGGAAAAACTTTAAAAAAATAGGGTACTCAAGATGTAAGAAAAAGGCAGGCCTTTTAAAAATATATGAAAGCTCTAGGCCCAGGTCATCCATTTAAAGTACTTCATAAGAATTTTAATACCATGAGGAAAATGCTTATATATAATGTTAAGTAGAAAAAAGCCTGGGATTACTAAACAATGTATATAGTAAGACCCTAATTTTATAATTATCATCATAACTATAATTATTGAAATCTATAAATAATCATTATATGACCTATGAATCAAAAAGGCTGGAAGAAAATACATGAATATGTTCACAGGATTTATATCTGAATGGTGGGTTTATGGGTGGTTTTATCATCTCTCTTCTGACTTTCCAAATTTTGTACCAGAAAATTTTACGTTTATAACCAGGGGAAAAAAAGGAATTTTAATTGATAAGAAAAACAGCTAATTCCCTACAAAGGACTTCTACTCTTCTGAAAATTATAACAAACAGAATATAGCATCAGCAATTCAATTAGAAATATTAATTCTGCTTATTAAGCAGATTACACGATGCTTAACTTGAAATGCAAACAACAGAGCAAAATTAGCTGAGAATTCAGTGTTCCTCTTAAATTACTGCATACAAGTCAGACATGTGCAGTGTATTTTTCCAAAACACAGCTTCTTTCATCGTCTACCTGGAGGCAAAACTGACACTTCCAACTAGCTAAAAAGTGAAAGCGGAACAAACTGGAGAGAACTATTAAAGAAAGAAAAGTTAATCTTGGAGAGAAGATCTCTTTTTGCTTCAGTTCATGTCTCTACATAGATGGATGATAATTAGATTAATACTTTCAGACTCTATCAGCTCCCTCCCTCACTCCTCCCCAAGGGAAAAATAGTGAATTCTGTGATTGGTCAGTTTGGAGTGAGAAACAGCACCTATAGTTCAGCCTTTTCCCCCTCTGGGATCAGCCCACTGCAAAGAACATGTGCTCTTCGTTAGCTCTTAGCCATACAATAAACTGAGTGGCCGAAGTTCTGTTTCGGTAGAGGGAGGTCTGTGGTTATTCGGCACCACCAGTAACGAGGGAGTGAGGCCATTTAACTCTGATGCTCAGTTTACAAATCTGGTTGTTGCTACACACTTAAATCATTTCACCAGCATCTCTATCCATAATAAAGCTGACACTTTGATCTCTATCTGCCTGGCCTCTTGGTTCTGAACTCAAGCAGAAGAAAAAGTGTTGTTTGCCCACCCCTCCCCCACTCCACCCCATCTCACTCTCTCTCTCTCTCTCTCACACACACACACACACATATGGTGGAGAACAGAATCAGTACCTCCTTAAAGCTCTGATTTAACCACCTAAGAAATGTTCTGTCCAGGTGAGCAGCTTGCTTGAAAACAAATTTAAATTACTGTTGTTAAACATAGGTCACTCCCTCATTCTATAAACTATACCTCCTGGTCTTACAACCCTAATGCCATCATGGGTATATATTATGAACCAGGCTCCAAATCCCCATTATTTGTGACTATAATTGGTCTGGTGAAAAACACCACTTTCTAGAGTTAGTAACCTACCTTCATTCCATCATCCACATCCTTCACGTAACCTTTTTCATATAGTTCCTGAGGAACATTTAATATACGTTTGGAAAAGTCACTTTCATGCCAGTCCACACAAAGACCTGCAATAGATAACAGTGACTTAAAAGCAGCTATCAGAGTTTCTGTTCCTGTCAGTTTTCTGCTTAATACCTTCTCTAAAATGCTCCCATATTTATCCAAAATTAAGAGTAGGTGGGAAAAAGAAAGATACCATAAAACCCCAACCAGTCCTTGGGGTTAACAGGATTTAGCTATTGTAAGACCTGGCCACGTGAGTTCCGGTGCTGGCAAAAGCCAAGAGAGCTAATAGGCTGCAACTTAAAAACAATGCAAAGATACACAAGACAAAAAAACAAAAACAAAAACCCCATCAGACTTCTCACAGAAACTCAGCAGGCAAAATACCTTCGATTTGTGTGTTCAGGCCTGCTCCAGGGCCAGAGGTCTGAGAAATAATTCAATCTTTATGAGCCCTTGGAAATGGAAGTGATGGTTTTATTGGCCTCAGCAGAGTCATGATTCCATACTCCCTGAATGACCCTGTACTCAGCCACAAGGGGAATGGTATAGCCTCTCCATTCAAACAAGAACAAATTCAACCTTTTATTTGAAACTGTTTGACCCAGCAGGTCTGGAGAGGATATTGCAATTCCCCTGGAGAGCCAGAGTAATAAGGGTTCAAATCTGTTCAGACTCAAGACAATGGTAGTTCCCATTTGGAAGAGGTTTTAGTGTACGTCTGCTCACTGGGCTTGAGTACTAAAAACTACACAAGCTCATATTATTATCAGCTATAACAATTCACATGGCACTCTTTAAGGGATTTGTCAAGAATAAATCATTTTTAGAAAAAATTTATCCTTCTGCATGCCTGGAAGAAAGGTTGGTTATTGACCTCATTTTCTCCAACAAGGGCAAATGAGAGGTTGAATGGTATTAAACAGGCAAAACAAATCATTGGTAGATTGTGGGTTAACGTCAAGAAAACACTGCCAGGCAAACAGCTGAGTAGGTGGGTTTTAGGTTTTCTTAGTGATACCAGTCACCTTCCAGGTAGGTTCAAAGGCCTATTCCATCTAAGAAGTCCATCTCTGAAGAAGATTCTAGCCTACCCAGAGCATATCTGAATCCACAGAACCACATGAGTTTTCTCAGAGTTTCTCCAACTTGAGTCCCAAGATCATCTACATCACAATTTAGCACCTATACACCTGGTACAAAATTTGCATTCCTAAGACAAGATAAAATCACAGGTGTATCAATTAAGCCAGGAGATACAAAACACCATTCATCAACTTGGATTCTATTTCTTGTCAAATATCTGATACATTTTAAAGCAAGCTTAAGCCTCGAGTTATAGTTCCAAATACCTTACTGAGCTTTTGTGCACTTTAAGATACAAACCAGAAATAATTTCTTACCACTGCCACTCCATGGAAGCGTCGGGATACCTGCAGTTTGAGCCACTATGGAAGACGCAATCTTATCCCCCAAAGCCCACATGGCCTGGCTTGGAGGACCTAAAAACAAAACAAGAATAGAACCCTGACTGTAACGTTTTGGGCTTCATGTCTGTCACATGTATTTTGTCTTCTATATAATTATTTTTATATTTGCTTTGTGTCCCCTACACCACATATCACAGACATCAGAAACTTGATTATGGGGACCACTATGTTTTGACTCATCTTTGTACCCTTTATAGAACCTAATGTAGTAAATGTTTGTACACAGTGATAATTCAATACATATAAATATATGCTGAATTAAATCCCTGATAAATCTAACTCTGATTTTATCATCCTTCATGATCCAACTTTACCAGATTAACAAAGTCTTTTTTTTTTTTTAAACCAATAAGGGCAATAAAGTTTTGGGGTTCAAGTCTGAAATATTACACTCTCTTTGGTCTTAGGCAAACCCAAAAGGAAGATTTATCTTTACAAAGCACATCAACATTGTGGAAGGTCTCTGAGACAGAGACATAAACACTTTGAGCCATATAATCTCGATTTTTCTGTCTATACAGGAGAGCAAAAAAGTTAGAAGAAATAGCTCTCACTTATAGAAATATAACCTACATGCTTACATGTGAAGGTACTGATTCATATTTAAGGGACACTGCAAGGACATCCTAAGTATTTGGTTATCTTTTCTATATAAAAATGGGCCCTTTCTCCACACGTTTTCTAAAGGCTAATGGCAAAGTTTTTAAAGGCCAATGTTTTGAAAATCAGAGCCTCCTCCGAATCTCATAGAAAAGAACCCAGGGACAGAAAACACAGTCAAGATGCAGAGTGTAGAAATTATGAAGGGGGAAAAAAAAGAAAAAGAGATGGAGAGGGTTACTCTGGGAGTTGCTGACTGATTAAAAAAAAAAAAAAAAAAGAGCCCAGTGCATACTAAACAGAAGAAAAGCAGACTACAGAGTGAAATATGGGTCAAAATGACAGAGAGAAACAGAAAGACAGGGAACAGTATGTCAGAAAGGCTTACCCATGAAGGCGATGCCATTTTTCAAAAGAAGTTCTGGGAGCTTGGGATTCTCGGAAGCATGACCCCAGCCAGCCCACACTGCCTACAAGGGAACACAATACGATTCATTCTTAAAATTCATACTAAAAAGAACATGATAAACTTTACGACTCTCTGCCAACACTGGCCCTACTCTGTGAGGTACAACAGCACCACAGCAGCCTAATGCTTAATTCAGCTTCGATGCCTGATTCTTGGCAAAGTTTTTACAGAGCAAACAATAAGCGGTCCATTGTGGTAAAACCTCCGAAGAGGTCGAAAACAAGTTGAAATTGATATTAAGATTCAGCTAGTATTGTCGCTCTTTAGGAAACTCAATTCAATAGCCTTTCAACTAGACTTATAAAGTCTTTTCTAGAAACACTGGTTTTCTTTCACAGAATGAATTACTCTGGCCACCTGACTCCACCTTGTACCTAGTGGTTGTACTGCCATACAAATCTCAAGTTTTTTTCTCTTTGGGTTTTAACACACTTACCCTAAACTTCCTAACACAACATGATAGGGAAGAAACAACCTAATTCGACACCACTGAATTCTAGACTAAGAATATTCCATTGGGAAACAGGCAACTTTTACTGATTAGGAGGTTTGAAAGGTGAACTAGATAGAACACACGATCTCTGAACCCATGATCTCGTACAAACCTCCTGTTTGTACTACGTTTACTTTATGTTGACTCATTCCGTTCCTTCCATCTTCCCTTTTTCTGTCTGTTATATCCCATATAAAGGCTTTTTATCAATTTTCAACAAAGATGCTTTATATAAAACTAAAAGTTCTTCACTGGCTATCCCCCTGTGTCCAACTGAATGGCTGAATTTGGCTTTCGGGGAGACGCTGGCATCTCTTACTTGTACAGGGATCCTTTTAGCGATATCAAGAATTAATTCCACATTTGCATAGTTGTTGTTGTTTGGTCCTCCTGGCACTGGCACATAGTGATCTGCCATCTTAATGTATTCTGAAAACAAAAGCAAATTAACAGAGAACACACGCTTTATTTTCAGAAATGTAACTGCAGAGCAAATCTACGTAAAGGACAGGTGCCATCGTACGTAGCCACAAGACAAACTGCATTAATGGGGTATTTCCAGGATTCTTTATTTGGAGGATCTTTGTTAGGTCACAGGCACTAAAATGTGTTCATCTCACAGTTAGGAAGCTCTTATACTAAAACAGCAGTTCTCAAACATTTCACTATATGACCTTTCTGAAGGGTCCTTATGATCCCCATACCAAGAATAATTTGACTGTCACTTAGAGGCCCATTACAATTATTCTGTTCTGAGAAAAAGTCTGTGACATCTTTTATCTTTAACTTGCACTATATTCTGAGAAAGCCCTTTTCCTAGTATGAAGCTGGGACAGAATGAGGAAACAGTAGAGTTTGGAAGGTTTGTAGACTGGCTAAACAGGGAAGGTTAGTTATAGGAGCCCTGAAATTCTTGAAAAGGGTTTTTCTGGAATGCTGGGGACACTAGGTATTTGAAAGACACTTTAAGAAGATATATTATTTCCCTTCTTGTTTTTTCCCCCTCCTATTCCCTTTCAAATCTGTCACCTAACGTTTCTCTCTTCCTTGTCTGGCAACAGTTGTACCAGGGCAGCTACAACATGCAGGGACAGTACTAAGCACTCTCTGTACATGATTTCATTTAATCCTCAACAATCCTATATATAATAGGTATTAATAGCACCCAGTTTACAGGAAATTATGGCTTGGAGCAGTTAAATAACTTGCTCAAGGTCCATCTCCACCATGTTTATTAACGTCTCATCTCTTGTTCTTAATCTTTAAAGATTTTAAGTCCCTCTTTAAAAACTCCACTCAAAGTAATACACAGGGCCCTACAGTTTGTTAAAAAAAAAAAAAGCAGGTTTACTGTTCTCTTTGATTATGAGGGAAAGCATGTTGATTATTAAAAAACTGAGAAAATAGGAGGGGAGGGTTATGGCTCAGTGGTAGAGTACATGCTTAACGTGCACAAGGTCCTGGGTTCAATCCCTAGTACCTCCATTAAAAATAAATAAATAAATAAACCTAATCCCCCTGTGCCAAAAAAAAGATTTTTAAAAAAATTTTAGAAAATGTATCAGGATATAATAATACGTACTGATTTTTAAAAGTCAAAATCACCCATTGTCCCACCCCTCAGAGATAATCAGTTCATGTTTGAGTATATTAGAAACCATAAACTGTTAACCAATTTAATATATTGTAGATATTTTTCTATGTTAATCAAGCCACTTTAGACTCTCACTAGCAATGTGAGTGTCAAACTGCCTATACTCTCACCTACACGGTATTATCAATCTTTCAAATGATGCCAGCCTTATAAATTAAAAAAAATCCCAATCTATTATTGCTTTGGTTTGCATTTCTTTCATTATCACTGGAATTGAAATCTCTTTTCACATGTTTACTGTTCCTTCTAAATTCTTTTTTTATGGACTGTCTATTCACGCTTTGTTCCTTTTCTTCTGAAGGCTGTCTTTTGCTCATATTATAGGTAGAAACTCATTGTTGTTGTCATGTTTTTCTAGATTATCATTTGTCTTTAACTGTTTCTCTTTCTTTTTTTATTTGCTAAATAGAAACTTTTATGTAGTCAAATCTATCTAACTTTTCTACTGTGATTTGGTCTTTACTGTAGTTCAGTGGACCCAGACACAGGAAAAAAGTTACTTTAATTGCTGACCTACATCCTAAACACACACCTACACACACACACACACTCAGTCTGCAAAGATACTGCTGTCATCAACCAACAACAGTTCAAAGCTCTATACCAATCAATCTTCTATTATCATTATAGACATTAAAGAAAAGAAGCCGCCCTGGGAAGTAGGGGAAATAAAGTTCATCCTAATTATATACCTTGTGTTTCTCTACCATCTCTTAGTTCCCACAGTTACAACTACTACCTAAAGACACTATTCTAGAATATATTCACAAAAAACACCAAAAACTTTCAAAAACTAAAAAAGAAAAAGAAAAATATAGAATATATTCATAAATAAGAAAGCTCCTCTCAAAAGAATACTCAATTTTTTTCACTGTGAATTTCACTAATCATCCACCTCTCCAATTTTTCCAATAACTATCACGAAATAAAAATATGCAACTAGTCAATTATTACCATCCTTACCATCCCCTAACCTGACAATTTTGCCTGTTCCCCTCCAGTCTCAGAGGATGAAGTCCTCTCCTCATATTAACAATTAACTCTTCTAAGTTATCTATGTGTCTGTCCTCACGATCCCAAGTCTCTAGGTATTCCTATCTTAAGTAATCTCCTCTCCTTGGGTGTGGGCACGATCTAGGACTTGCATTTAGCCAAGAGAATGAGGAGACATTACTTCCATACCAACATCATGGAAGAATGCGAACCCATCTTACTGGGATACTTTCCCTGGCTGGCTGTGGGTAGCAGGCAGTCATTGTGGGATGGCCTGCATGACAAGGAGCCAAGAGTAGTCTCTAGCCAACAGTCAGTCACACCTTCAGGCCCTCGGTCTGCCAGCCCACAGGAAACCCAGTGCTGCTAACCACCACGTGAGCTTCAAAGCAGATCCATCCCACATGGAGCCTCAGATGAGGCTGCGGCCCCGCTGAAAACTGATGGCAGCCTTGTGATAACCTGAAGGAAAGGACCCAGCTAAGCCGAGTCCTGACCTACAGAAACCAGGAGATAATAAACGTCTGCTGTTTTCAGCTGCTAAATTTGTGGTAATACTGTTACATAGTAATAGATAGTGGAACAGTCTGTCAGAATGCATTCTCAGACCAATAAATGTTATTCCACAAAATCTTTTAATGGCAGTGTGGCAATTTCACAGAATTGGTGTGATACATTTTACGTAATGTAGTGCTGGACACTTCAGTTATTCCCCATTTCTCATTATTTTAAATAACACTGCAGTGAATATCCCTGTATGAATATATCTGCCCCTGTTACTCATTTATGTTCCTCAGAATAAATAATAGGAGATAGAATTTCTTAACCAAAAGATACGCATATTTTTGTCCACTTGTGCTCCTGACCCCATCCCCTTCCATCTCCTGTAGCTCTTTTGTGTCCTGCTACCCCCAACCCCGCCCTCGGCTTCTTCCTCTCCGAGTATAAACATTCCCAAGTCTCTTCCATTCTGAAAAATAAAAATCCTCTTGACCCTGAACCTCTCTTTAGTTACTGCCCTCCTTCTCCTTTTCTCATCCAAAAACATTGTGTCACACCTCCAAACATTTGCATATACTGTTCTTTCTGCCTGTAACACCCTTGTCTTCCCCCAAATTGCTTTCCTAACTCTTAGTCATTCTTAGCTAGGCATAACCTCTTTCAGAAAGCTTTCTCTTAACTCTGTTCACACCTCTTTACCCTTAATCCAAGAGCAGGGGACAGAGTTAAGATGTTTCATCTCTGTGTTCTCTCAGTGTCCTGTGCACATTTCTATTATAGCGCTTAACTCATTGTATTGAAATTATTTGTTTCCTAGAGCAAGATGATCACATCTGATTAAACTGTGGGTCTCCATGTTCATTGAGTGAATGAATGAATAAGTGAATAAATAGGAGTACCAGGTAGAAACAGACAGTGAAAAAGAAATCATGCAAGGTAGTTCACATTTATTATAGACAATTTCATCTTTACAACTAGCCAGTGAAACAGATGTGATTTTCATTTTACAGATACAAAACTGCGGCTCAGAGATGTCAAAGGGTCAATCTAAATGATTTCACCTAATAACATCTGCTTTGTAATAAACTGGTGCCTTCTGCATTTCTAAAGATAATATAATAACCCTTACTCCTTGGGAATAGTCTTAACATCATCGTCTCAATATAGAGAGCACATATAAAGAACAAAATAGGTACAAAAAGATAGCTCTTCAAAAAGCTAATGTTATCTGTGGATACTCATCTTAGAGATGATACTTTAGCAATAAAAAGTATGGAGAGGAAGGACTAGCCACAACCTCTCAGCGACACCAATAATCTTCACGTGTAACTCTCAGACGGAGGACCATAGAAGTAGGGAGAATGCGCACAAGAGCCTGCAGAGTGAAACCCACTTGGGTCCCAAGAGGTCTCTTGCCCAGGGAGAGGGAGAAAAGAATCTTAACCCTAAGATTCCCTACAATTCAATGTAGCTCATAAGGCAAACAGCATTTCTTTCCAAACCTTTCTACTTACACATTTTGCTAAAGCCCGCAGCTTAGCAAATACTGAAACACTGAAAAGACATACAGCTGAAAACCCAAATCAACACTTTGGTTAAACTTCTACCTATTTTTACTTGAAACACAGGGGTCTGTGTTGAGGTTAAACAAAGCACAAATCTTTGTCCGTGCCTGTTATTGCACACTTTTTAAAAGAAAAATTGTTAGGTTTGGGAATCCCCCTGAGTTAATGCTCTCCTACTTAAAGGCTGTGCTATTCAACATCCTATGATCGAGGGTGAGGTTCTCTTAATGTTCATAACTCACCTGCATTGGCTTTCAGGTCTTCAGGTGTGACCATGACAACAAATCGGATTGCACGTTCGTTTCGAAACATTTCATAAGACCACCGGCGGATAGATCGCATGCATTTCACTGCTGCAATTCCATTGTTAGCAATGAGAACCTGAGAAGGGAGGGGGGTGGGCACGGGAGTTAGAAAAGTAGAGAAAGCAGGCGAAGATGGAGGAAAAGAGATGAAACCATTTTTTTTTAAAGATCTTTCTCTGAAAAGCCAAGAGTTTCAACTAGGAATTTGTATTACTTGTCTAAGCAGTTAGGAACCAGCTCTCACATGATCAGGGGATATTTTAAGATTTTAGCTAAGCAATACTTTAATATGTGCCAGCTAAAACTTACTTCTTTCTAACTTCATTACTTGAAGGGAAAAATCAGTTACTCAAATCTTTTAAGTTTGTGAATTATTCTCCAATACCTATTATTAGGGAAGAGAAGAAACAAACTTCAGAGGGATGTTGGATATAAATAAGGCTGGGGGAAGGCTAAGTGTAGTGTCACACACTATTCTCCACTACAGCAGAGCCCTGGACGTGTGTAAGAACACCTGTACCAACCACCACCTCTCTCCAGAACGCTGAAATCCAAATGCCTTATAACTGTGGAGATGGCCTCAGAATGGTCACAAGAGAAACAGTAGAGGAGCAATGACCCTGAGACTCTCTCTGTTAAACAAACCTTTCCTCTCCTGATCTGTCTTGCAGTCATGACCCTGAGGATAACATAGGTTAGGAGACATGCAATCTATCTTTATTGGAAGACTAACGGAAGCACACTGCTGGAGCCACACTTTTAGGGAGTGGGAATGTAGGTCTCTATCCTTTAATCCTTTAATCACAGCAAGCTATTTCAGCCAAGTCATCCTCTCAGCTCCGACATGGTTTAGATAATGGATAAAAGTGACACAGAATTACTCACAACATTGCAAAATACCTGTAATCTCTTCAAATATTTCACATAGTACATTTCCCCTAAATATCTCAGATTCCTGGTGGAAGCCAGTAAGTCACAGGGTATGAAACTGTTTAAGCCTTTTGTTCCGAAACTCTACTCCTTTAGCTCTAAATTCAGTGTTATGACATATTACCTCCTCACTACCACCCTACAAGCTAATCAATTTCTCATACCCTCTCAGATCAGTGCAGCAAAACCCTATAAAACCACAAGATGTTTCTAAGAAAAACTTTACGGGCACTGGTTCATCTTCTTCCTTAGTTATAACTGCATTATCTGTGGTAAGTACATGTTACAGGAAATTGTGACATCATTTAATAGGATGCTAGGGAGACAGAAAGGATAATTCTGCACAAAGTCTCAGAAATTCAATCTAAATAATCCATTTTGAGCAAATCTAGACAGCACATCTAGGCATTAAATCTCGTGTACTTTTGAAAAAATAACTTAGCAGGTTACAACTTACCTTCTCAATCACTTTATTTCCACCAAAACGAGTAACAAATTCTGCTGGAGAAGCTACAGTGAAATCTCGCTGTGAGTCTACTTTCTTTCGGTCTCGACCTTGCTTTACTAGGTGCAAGCCAGACATGCTGGACCTATAAAAACAGAGAAATCATAGAAGTCTATAGATAGGATTTCCTCACACCATCTATCTCCCTGGAGACCTGCTTTCCACCACCAGGCTTATAACAGCACTTCCAACTGCACCCTTGTGAAGAGCGCAGGCTGGCAGACCACACACTCTTTAAATAGACAAGAGAGGAGAAAATGATCTTTGCTTGGGATATTTAAGGAAAAAAATTTAAATGTTCCTGAATAATAAAAGACAACATTAAGGTTTACCAGCAGATGTCATCACAAAGAGATAGGCAAAGGACAGAATAAAATGAGATGGTATAAATAATAGACTCAAAGAGGCTGTTTCAACTGAAAAAAACAGCAAAGCTGTTTCTGGACCATGATTCCAACACAGATGACCTTCCCCTTTGTATGTCTAGCGTCCATCTTTCTTATGAGCTATAACTTCACATTTTTAACTGTCTACTAAATGTTTTACTTGGGTATCCCATAGACCTTTTCTTCCCCCCAAAAGACACCAAAAACAAATTATTTACAAGGCAGCATAATAAACCACATTTCACAGATCTTAAGATGCCCCTCTTTTTTTTAGCTTTTTAAAATCTCTGAAATTGGCATATGTCTCACAATGAATGGTGTGCTTTATTTAATTGGCAATATTTTGTTTTTCCTCAGTGATACGCACACAATAACGGTGCTGGTTTAGATTAGATAGTAATGGAAACAGCACAGGCCTGGGTTTAAATTCCAAATCTTCACCAAATAACCGTGTTCAGCTTCAGTTTTCTTTGTAAGTGATGCACGGTATTCACTGTTGAGGTTATTTACCTAGTGTCTCCCAGCTCCAAGTCCACCCTTTTATGCTCTGCTCTGTGACAACAGGGCTAAGACTATGCAAACTTACGTAGTTCCGCCCAGGGGAAGTCAGAAGGGTAAAAAAGGGGACTTTCTGCTTGTTTTCCAGCTATTACCAGCATTGCTCCATAGAACAGAGTTAATTCCAGCTTCTATTATCTTTCAGCATTCCCAGGGAGAGCCCTGATGCACACCCTCAGAGGTACCAGGAGCTGTGGGTTGCAGCTCCTTGGCAGAGCAGCAGTCTTACCATGCTAACTCAGTCTCTGGGCTACGCTGCCTTGGGCTATCAATCATTGCCAGGCCAGGCCTCCTCCTCGAGGATCTGAGCACCAGTTACTCAACACTTACTCTCAGAAGTCCAAGTACCAGCCCCCAGGGATCCTCCCCTAAGCTTCTAGGTTCTGGGAACACTGCCTCTTCCCCAGGGGTGGTAGCTGCTTCCTGCAGGTATTAACTCTGGGTTACTTCAGCATCCCTTTTTTGTTCTTTTATTCTTCTAACACCCAAATAACCAATTCTCACAATTGAGTGTCCTCTGTTTATAATACCTAATGGAATTTCTCTTTCCCTGACTGGATCTTGACTGATAGGACTGACAGACCTTCTGAAAGGGTGTTTTGAAGAGTAAATGAGATAATGGATATAAATAAGATCCTTTACACACTATTTAATAGACAGCTGTTTTCTTCCTTTCTCCTACACGCTAACCTTGACATGGAAGTAATTTATCTCTTCAAAATAAGAGTGTATGATTAAAACTTCTTCCCACAAAGAAGTACCAGGTCCAGATGGTTTTAAAAAATAAGTTCTATCAAACTTTCAAGGACAGTAGTCCACCAAATCTCCAGACAATAAAAAAGAAGTAAAACTCCCCAGTTAAAGTAACACTGATACCAGCATCAAAGATGTTGCATGAAGGGAAAAGTCCAGGTCCACTTTACTCATGGCTACAGATGCAAAATTCCTAAACACAATATTCTAAATAGTATATAGGCAAGGGCGGGCAAAATATTAGCAAAAAATATGTTACTCCACAACCAACTTGAGTTTGTCTCAGGTATGTAAGGATGGTTTAATTTTAGAAAATCCATAAATGTAAAACTCAGACTACCTAGAAAGTACAATAAAATGAAAAAGTAAATATATAAGAGGCATGAGGATTGCCAAGGAGAAAGTTAAACTGTCATTATTTGTGAATGAGATGATAATTTACATAGAAAAGATTTTGCAAGTTATTAGAAATAACAGACCTTAGTCAAGTGTCTAGATATATGATTAATGTACAAGAAGCCCAAAAATATTATACACATTAGATTGTATACAGTTATAAAATTAAAAACAGGTTATAAAGTTAAAAACTCTACACACTTTAAGAGATAGATATAGATATACTAAAACTACAGAAACAGGAAAACAAAATAATGTGATAAATATGTGATTAGGGCAAATGATTATCTGGGTGGCAGAGGCAGGAAGAAGGATTAAGGAGGAGACCACATGGGTAGATGTAGGTGATTGACCGTTGTTTTAGGTGGTGTGTTTTCAAATTCTTTTTACATTATTTTAAAAAATAACTAAGTAACCAAATAAGTAAATAACAGTGAGTCACACATGCACCAATGAGTGTGTCATGAACCAAGGATTACGATTATATAATTCTATACACCTGAGATTCACATATACATACTCCTCAGAGATCAGCTTTCAGTTAGGGAGGAAGCGAAGACAGCGTTAAGATGTAAACCCAGGATCAACAAGGAGCTGCCTGAGTATAAGACAAAAAGAGAAGCAAAGTCTTTACTGATAAAATTAAGGTGGGACAGGGATTGGTCCTAACATTTCATCACTAGTTTAGAGATGGCAAAGGAGAGCTCTGAGGGTCACTTACAATCAAAGAAGGGAGAAAAATAGAAATCTACCTGACTTTCAATGATGGGGTCCTTCACATAGCCATATTCAGAAGTTAGGCATCATCCCGAAAATAAGGGGATCAAGTATAAAGATAGAATAGATCTCAAAATCTCTAATCCCCCCTATCTTTTCTCAGGAAACTACTAGAGAATGTTGTCTTCCAAAAAGATGGATTAAACCAAGAAAAAGGAAGACAAGGGATATAAGAAACAGAAGATGCAACACAGGAGAGAAGAGAATTCTCTACATGACTGTTCCAACTGGAGGACAGACTTCTCCAGGAGGGATGTCTTCTTGAAAAAAATGGACAGATCATCTGTTGTATTTAGCCACAGGAAAACAAAACTTTTGTGCGTGTAACGTATATAAATATGTGTGTTTCGTTTATAAATATGTTGTTTTACATATATAAAACAGTATTATATAAATGTTTATGATATTTATACTCAAATCATTTTATTATATATTAAAATATGTAAATATATATAGTATGTATATGTAAAACATCCCAGTTGCTTTAAACTTACTTGACTTTCAGTGGAAGATATGCTTGATTTATCTCCCGAAGGGTGGAAAAGGTCAGGAAGAGGAAAGGATGATTGTTCTAACGGCAAATTTTGCCTATTTGGTATTTTTCATTCGTTTCTGTATTTGCCAAGGTCCAGCTTAATTTTCAGGGAATTTTTTTTCAAAATAAAAACTCCAGATTATAAAAACAAGCAAGCAAACAAGCAGACAAATAGAATAACAGGGACCCTTAATGACTGCCATCAGGCAAATCATTCACGTCTTTTATGCTGACCCTCTTCTGGAGCGGCACCGATCTACCGAGAGGTCTGAAGAAGGCCAGGAAGGTCTGACTCACTTCCTCCTGGGCTTGAGTTCTAACAGCAGGAAAAGAAAGATTCCAGCCCCAGTCTGGCTGCCTACTGTCAGATGCCAGGACAGACAAGAGCAGCCGGTACCTTTCCTGGCCCCAGAGACAGGTTCAAAGAAGTTTTCTGCAAAACTACCTTCAACAAGATGCTACCTACTACACAGAATTGATATATTCCTTCAAAACAGATGGAGACTTCACTCTTGAAAGACCAGCCAAGTCCAGTGAGAAAATTTGGCACAGACTGAGTGAGCTCCCTTAACGAAATAACAGCACAAAGCAAGGTCTGCGCGAGGGGTGCTTGTTTTCAGTGGAGCTACAATATTACACGTGGGCTCAGGTATCTCGGGTTCAAATTCTGAGTGTAAAATAAAGGCTTAGAAATCCAGGAGCAAATATGAGAGTTTTTATTCATTTCCTTAAAAAATAAAATAGTTTCTTATAGACACACACATACACAAATAATCAAATCAGATTTCCCATAAATTCCAGGGCTTAGCTTCAATGCCTTGCTGTATATATTGCCCAAATCCGGCACCCTCAAACTTACCTTTGAAGCATGTGATATCTCATCTCCTTATTGTCCTCGGCAGAACCCTCCATATCAAGATGACAAAGGAATGGAGGCTTTTTCCTCAGATGGAAACACAAGCCGCGGTTCGCCCTCCTGTTGCAGGTGCTTAAAACCCAGGAGGACAAGAGACACCGTGCCTTCTGCCTACTTCTTGGCCCTGCGTCAGTCAGAGTAGAGTATTCCTCATGGCCTCAAAGTACAGTCTTTTTGTCTGCTCTGTCCCCATTTTCCATACTTCCCCTCCTGTCTGTATTTTCCCCCCACGCTGGACTCACACAGGGAATTAGCTGATCTCCCAAGGGGACTGAGAGGAGAGGAGGGGATATACAAGCTTGCATGACCAGAAAACAGATCTCAGCAGCTCTGTGTTAGCCGCGGCAAACACGTTTCAACAACGGTCACTTTCTCCTGACAGTCGCTGGAGTCAAGCTCCACGGCCTCCCCGGGCTGCCAGGAGCATGTGACACGGAGGGCCCAGGGCAAAAAGGAGATGAAGTTTGCAAGGACACCAGAGCCAAGAAAATAATGGGGTCACGAAATCCAGAGGGAGAAGGACAGTACAGCCTAAGCAGGTAATTTCTGAGATCCAGTCAAAACAAATAATACTGATTTTCAGACTCCAAGAGGGGGAACGAGCAGGTTAGGAGGTCACAAAAGGATGAAACATGCCCCTACTGAGGAACTCTGAATGATGTGGGAGTCACAATTCTAATTCTCAGGCCACAGTAGGGATACACACACACACACACACACACACACACACACACACACACACACACACACACACACACACACAC